TCTGGTCAGCTGTTTCTGGGGGTTAAACCAGCCCAGTCTTAATCCCTTTGATCATCAGTCCTCCCTCTCTGATACTGGCTTTCTTGAGTTCAGCTCAGTACTTAACCAGCCACTAAATGTAGTTTCTGTTTCCCAGACTCTCTGGCCATAGGATTGTAGGCTGGCACTCCCCAGATCTATGTCTAAAATCCATATATGAGAGAGTACATGCCATGTTTCTCTTTTTGTGACTGGGTTACCTCACTCAGGATGGTTTCTTCTAGTGTCATCCATTTGCCTGCGAATCTCATGATTCCGTTATTTTTTTCTGCTGAATAGTACTCCATTGTGTAGATGTACCACATTTTCTCTATCCACTCTTCGGGTGAGGGACATCTAGATTGCTTCCAAGTTCTGGCTATTACAAATAAAGCTGCTATGAACATAGTGGAACAGACATCTTTGTTATATGAATGGGCATCTTTTGGATATATGCCTAAGAGTGCAGTTGCTGGGTCTTGTGGTAGGTTTATTCCCATTTTTCTGAGGAATCTCCATACTGCTTTCCAAAGTGGCTGAACCAGTTGGCACTCCCACCAGCAATGGAGGAGTGTCCCCCTTTCGCCACACCCTCTCCAGCATAAATTGTCATTGGTGTTTTTGATTTTAGCCATTCTGACAGGAGTGAGATGGTATCTCAGAGTTGCTTTGATTTGCATTTCCCGGATGGCTAAGGATGTTGAGCACTTTCTCAAGTGCCTCTCAGCCATTTTAGACTCCTCTATTGAAAACTCTCTATTTAGTTCTGCAGCCCACTTTTTAATAGGGTCCTTTGCTGTTTTGGAGACTTGCTTCTTGAGTTCTTTGTAAATTTTGGAGATCAACCCTCTGTCCGATGTGGGATTAGTGAATATTTTTCCCATTCTGTGGGCTGCCTTTTTGTCTTGCTGACTGTGTCCTTTGCCTTACAGAAGCTTCTCAGTTTCAGTAGGTCCCATTTATTAATTGTTGATCTTACTGCCTGTGCTACTGGTGTTATGTTCAGGAAGCTGTCTCCTGTACCAATTCGTTCAAGGGTACCACCCACTTTCTCTTCTAAGAGGTTCAGTGTGGCTGGATTTATGTTGAGGTCTTTGATCCATTTGGACTTAAGTTTTGTGCATGGCGATAGACATGGATCGATCTGCATTCTTCTACATGCCAGTCTCCAGTTATGCCAGCACCATTTGTTGAAGATGCTTTCTTTATTCCATTGTATATTTTTAGCTTCTTTGTCAAAGATCAGATGTTCGTACGTGTGTGGGTTAATATCGGGGTTTTCAATTCGATTCCATTGGTCTACCTGTCTATTTTTGTGCCAATACCAAGCTGTTTTCAGGACTATAGCTCTATAATAGAGCTTGAGGTCAGGGATGGTGATGCCTCCGGACGTTGCCTTGTTGAACAGGGTTGTTTTGGCTATCCTGGGTCTTTTGTTTTTCCATACAAAATTGATTATTGTTCTTTCAAGGTCTGTGAAGAACTGTGCTGGGATTTTAATGGGGATTGCATTGAATCTGTAGATTGCTTTTGGCAGGATTGCCATTTTTACTACGTTGATCCTACCTATCCAAGAGCATGGGAGATCTTTCCATTTTCTGAGGGCTTCTTTAATTTCTTTCTTTAAAGATTCAAAGTTCTTACGATACAGGTCTTTCACTTGTTTGGTTAGCGTTACCCCAAGGTATTTTATGTTGTTTGTGGCAATTGTAAAGGGTGATGTTTCTCTGATTTCTCTTTCAGCCCTTTTATCATCTGTATATAGTAGGGCTACTGATTTTCTTGAGTTGATCTTGTAGCCTGCCACTTTGCTGAAGGTGTTAATCAGTTGTAAGAGTTCCCTGGTAGAGTTCTTTGGGTCACTGATGTAAACTATCATATCGTCTGCAAACAGTGAAAGTTTGACCTCTTCCTTCCCAATTTGTATCCCCTTGATCCCCCTTTGTTGTCGTATGGCAATAGCTAGAACTTCAAGTACCATGTTGAAAAGGTATGGAGAGAGTGGACAGCCTTGTTTTGTTCCTGATTTTAGAGGAATTGCGTTGAGTTTCTGTCCATTTAGTTTGATGTTGGCTGTTGGTTTACTGTATATAGCTTTTATTATGTTTAAGTATGTCCCTGTTATCCCAGATCTCTCCAAGACCTTTATCATGAAGGGGTGTTGGATTTTGTCAAAGGCTTTTTCAGCATCTAGTGAGATGATCATGTGATTTTTGTTTTTCAGCTTGTTTATATGGTGGATTACGTTGATGGATTTTCGTATGTTGAACCATCCCTGCATTCCTGGGATGAAACCTACTTGGTCGTGGTGAATGATTGTTTTGATGTGTTCTTGGATCCGATTTGCCAGTATTTTATTGAGTATTTTTGCATCAATGTTCATGAGGGATATTGGTCTGAAGTTCTCTTTCTTAGTTGTATCTTTGTGTGGCTTGGGGATCAAGGTTATTGAAGCCTCATAGAAAGAGTTTGGCAAAGACCCTTCTGCTTCTATTGTGTGGAACACTTTGAGAAGAATTGGTATAAGCTGTTCTTTGAATTTCTGGTAGAATTCTGCACTGAGGCCATCTGGACCTGGGCTTTTTTTGGTTGGGAGACTTTTGATGACAGCTTCTATTTCCATAGGGGTTATAGGTCTATTTAAGTTGCTTATCTGTTCTTGATTTAGTTTTGGCAATTGATAGCTGTCCAGGAAGTCATCCATTTCCTTTAAATTTTCGAATTTTGTGGAGTACAGGTTTTCAAAGTATGACCTAATGATTCTCTGGATTTCCTCAGAGTCTGTTGTTATGTCCCCCTTTTCATTTCTGATTTTGTTAATTTGCGTGTTCACTCTCTGCTGTTTGGTAAGTTTGGACAAAGGTTTGTCTATCTTGTTGATTTTCTCAAAGAACCAGCTCTTCGTTGCGTTGATTCTTTGTATTGTTTTCCTGGTTTCTACTTTATTGATTTCAGCCCTCAATTTGATTATTTCCTGGCGTCTACTCCTCCTGGGGGAGTGTGCTTCTTTGTGTTCTAGAGCTTTCAGCTGTGATGTTAATTCTCTGGTATAACTGTTCTCCTGTTTCTTCATGTGAGCATTTAGCGCTATGAACTTCCCCGTAGCACTGCTTTCAAAGTGTCCCATAGGTTTGGGTATGTTGTGTCTTCATTCTCATTGAATTCGAGGAAGTCTTTAATTTCTTTTTTTATTTCCTCTTTGACCCAGGGATGGTGCAGTTGAGCATTATTCAATTTCCATGAGTTTTTAGGTTTTCTGCAATTTGTGTTGTTGTTGAATTCTAATTTTAAAGCATGGTGGTCTGATAAGATGCATGGAGTTATTCCAATTTTTTTGTAGCTGCTGAGGTTTGATATGTTGCCAAGTATGTGGTCGATTTTTGAGAAGGTTCCATGTGGTGGTGAGAAGAAGGTATATTCTTTTTTATGTGGATGAAATGTTCTATAGATATCTGTTAATCCCAGTTGGGTCATTACTTCTATTAGCCCTTTTGCTTCTTTGTTGAGTTTCTGTTTGGTATTCCTGTCTAGTGGTGAGAGTGGTGTGTTGAAATCTCCCACTATAACTGTGTGGGGCTTTAGATGAGATTTAAGTTCTAATAATGTTTTTTAACGAATGTGGATGCCTTTGTATTTGGGGCATAGATGTTCAGAATCGACACTTCCTCTTGGTGGGTTTCACCTGTGATGAGTATGTAATGACCTCCTTCATCTCTTTTGATTGATTTTATTTTAAAGTCTAGTTTGTTAGATATTAGGATTGCTACCCCGGCTTGTTTCTTGGGTCCATTCGATTGAAAAATTTTTTCCCAACCTTTAATTCTCAGGTAATGTCTGTCTTTAAGGGTGAGGTGTGTTTCCTGTATGCAGCAGAAGGAAGGATTCTGTCTTCGAATCCAATCTGCTAGTCTGTGTCTTTTTATGGGTGAGTTAAGGCCATTAATATTGAGGGATATTAATGACCAATGATTGCTCATCCTTCTTCGATTTGCGATGGTTGTTGTTGGTGGAATTATGTGTGGAATTTCACCCCTTTGTTCTTTTGGCTGTTGGTAGAGAGAGATTCTCTAATGCTTATATTTTTCTGGTTGTAGTTAGCTTCCTTGGGTTGGAGTTTTCCTTCCAAAATTTTCTGTAGGGCTGGGTTAGTGGACACATATTGCTTGAATCTAGTTTTGTCATGGAATATACATAAATATATTTTAAAATCCATTTAGTGTAGCTTGTATCTATATGATTTCAGGACTGACCACTTAGTACTTTGAGGGCTTATCCAGGAGGAAGACTAATTCTCCCTCCCTCAGCAGTCAATAATTGCCTGTAGCTCCTTGTCTATGAGTGGGGCCCACGTAGGGTGTCCCTCTAATGGAGGATGTCCCTCAGTATGCTGTGAATGTATGTTTCTCTTATTGGTTGGTGAATAAACGCTGATTGGCCAGTAGCCAGGCAGAAAGTATAGGCGGGCTACCAGAGTAAGAATGCTGGGAAGAGGAACACAAAAAGGGAGCCACCAAGGAGATGCCATGTAGCCACCAAAGGAGTAACATTCCGGAGCATTATGGTTAAGTCACAGCCTCGTGGTAATATATATAGTTTAATAGAAATGGGTTAATAATTAAAGGAGAGTGAACCAGCAAGAAGCCCAAGCCATGGGCCAAACAGTTTATAATTATTCCAAGCCTCGGTGTGTTTATTTGGGGCTAAAGGGCTGCTGGACCAGGCGGGACAGAAACTCTGTCATCATCCCTCTTCCACATCAGCGTGTCTATTGGTATTACCACTGTTCACGTGCTGTTTATAAAGCCATGTTGTTGCAGTATCTTTGGTTTATCTTTTCTGTTGTGTCTAGGGTTGTGCCAAAATTCTGAACCCCAAAATCACCAAGAGACCCATTTGGACGCAAAAGCAAAGAGTCTTTTATTGAATTTATTTAATGAACTAACCCCATTAGCTTGGGCCCCTCATCCCTCCACTATGGCAGATGGCTGGAGAAAGACCCCAAGCAACCTCGAGGCAGGGATCTTAAAGAGCATCATAAGGGGAGTGTCTAGGGGTATAAAACAGTCTCATGATTGGTGCACTTCTAGGCTTGGACAAATGCTCTGTGTTGATTGGTCAACTGGCTGTTATGGCCCGCCCTCCCAGGGTGGTTGCTACGCTCTGCACTTCACTGGTCACTATTGTGCACTTGTCCATAAAGCACACCCAGAGCTGTAAAGCACAGCTCCACTAGCTAACTTCTGATTGGCTTCTTGCCACAAGGAGGGCATCTGATCTCCTAGTACCAGGACAGGAGCAGCAAGGTAGCCTGTCATGGCTGCTAAAATGGGGGACTGGTCATTACACTAGGAGACTAATATCACAGCAGATTTCTTTGGCCTCTGGCTCTTACAATCCCCACTACTCCTCTTCCAAGATGATCCTTCGGCCAGGGGTACCTGAATTGTGTTGCAGATGTTTTCCCTGGGCTGGGCACACCACATAAACAAGAAGCCTCTTTTGACTGTTTCCCTCCTTTGGCAGTTTTCATAGCATCTTTTGGTGATATGCAAACTAGTCCTTAGGGAAGAGGCTTTCGGGTCAGATCCAGTTCAGATTTTCTATATCCTGTCTGAGTGTATGGTACCTTCAACAATAGAGACGTATCTTCACCCTATGGGAGGCAACCAAAGATAACAGCAATAGCACGCGATGTTTTGGTAATCTCTTGAACTCTGCTGACAGCAACTCAAAGGGGAGTTTCTTATCTTTGGTGAAGAGGTTTTGGTTAGATGGTCTTTGAGTCTTGAGGGACAGACAGACAGATGATACATAGATAGCTACATAGCTAATAGATATGATGTGATATGTAGACATTATATGTAACATTAGGCATAAATCATACGATTCATTGTGTTATTTAGAACATCCTTAGTTTTATTTTTCCCTCTTCCTTTCCTGTATTGCCCTCTCTCCCCTCCTCAGTTAAAGGACATCTTCCTATCTGTCCCATTTTCCCCTTCGTGACACTTCTGTCCTGTGATTCCCCCTTTGTAAAGATCCTTCACCAGGTTCAATGTGGTCGTATGTGGGGCTAAGGCCCACAGTTTAGGAAGCTTGGCTACAAATGATTTGACGTATGTGGGCAAACGTGAATGGGCTCTACGAAAACAGTATGCCTTCTTCTGAAAGGGCCTGGAGAACCCGAGGATTCTGGTTACCATCAGAAGGATAAAAGGGGAACCCACAGACCAAAATCCCGTGGAGATCTAGTGGTGCTATAGACAATATATTTAATTTTTCCTTTATTTATTTTATTTTTATATCTTTATTTTATATTTTAATAAGAAAATATGTCTAACATTTTTTAAAATAATATAATACTGGAAGACCATAAAATAGCTTTTTACACATTACTCAGTATTAGTTGGTATGTGTGTGTGTATGGAGAGCAGGGTAACACACGTGTGAGTGCAAGCATGCCCCCACTGCAGTGCATATGTGGAATCGGTTCCCTCCTTGCACATTTACACGGCATCTGTGGACTGCACTCAAGGTTTAAACAATTTGCCTGTGTGCAGAATTTCTACCTACCTACCAAGGTGTGTGGCACGGTGTAAGAATGGATCACAACAGAAACATGTGAAACAAACAGAAGGTTTTCAAGAGTGGCCACCAAGGGGACTCCTTCAGCATGTCCTACTGTTAAACACTGAGCATACTGTAGCTAAGGAGACTGAGATGGAATGCCAGTCTGGCTGCTGGCTTATGCAGGCTTTCACTTCACTTTTTACCACTGTTAAATCTTTGACTACCGATTATCAAAGAAGAATTCATCCCAGGAGATGGGGAGACTCGGGCAATAAAATGCATGAGAATCAGTTAGAGCCACAGTATTCTCAATACAAAAGCCCCACTAGGGAGGTACAGAGAGAGGGTTGCTGGGGCTCAGATTCCCTGAGAAACCCTATCTCAAAATTAAGGTGGAACATGACTGATAAAGGAAGACAGCCAAGGTTGACCTCTGACCTCCACATGAGCACACATACATGGGCTTATATGCAACATGAACACACACACACATGCATGCTTTTTTTATTTGTAGCTATATATATACATACATACACAAACATATATAGATATAGATATAGATATATATAGCTATGTCCCATATAACAAACGGTGACACTAGTGACACAAAAATAAGAAACGATTCTGGCCACGATTCCAAAAGCCATCTGTGCGGTTTCTAAATTGGTGTGGCAATGTGTGTTGCTGCAGGAGAGGGGATCCTGACTTCTGGGAGGCCGCTCCCTCTTGCCGTGAGCCTACATCCCATCTCCTGCTCTTTCTCAGAGATGGAATCTTTTCCAACAGACTCTGTCTCCACTGAGGAGACAGGTGTAGGCTTATACAGGAAAAGACAAGCCCTGCTGCCCCTTGCTTAGGAGGAGAAACACAGTCCTTCCAGGAGAGGCTGAAGACAAAGGATGGAGAGAGGAGCTATCACAGCCTCCAACCCCCCCCCCCCCCAACTCTCTTTTCAGGCATAGCTTTGTCTAGCATGATGTGAACGGGGTAGGGGTGCGGGGGAGGGGGGGAGACGGGGGACACTGACTTCTCCTTCCTGCCTGACTTCTTGTTTTAACAACATTCCCTTTCCAGTAATAAAGAAGAAAAGAAATCAATCCTATTTTCCTCTATTTACATAACAGAGATGTGGAGGGTGTGCTGACAATGGGTTTTCCCAGATGATTTTTTGGCTTGAGTTTGGCTGACAGGAACAAACTTACAGGGAAGCTGGTTTCGAGGGTGTATGGGGGAGGGGGGGTGTGGAGAAGAAGCCG